ACATACACATAGGGTTGGGTTCATACAAGACAAAACTGTTTTCGCGAGACACTATTTTTACACTTGAAACTTCACAAAAAAATGTTGTGAAGGTAAACAAAACCTGAATCGTCACAGCAAAAACACTGTGAAGGTTACCTTCATAGTTTTTTGCTGTGAAGTTTTAAGTGTTAAAATTGTGTCTTACGTGTCTCACGAAAACAACCTTGTTTCACATGATTCCATGTGTGTGTGTATATATATTTATACAGAGCGAGTGAAATCAAACCCACTCCCACCCCCACCCCACCCCACCGTCGTACTCGTACACCATCAACGACTGGCCCCAAGCTTCCCCCCCCTCGAGTTTCGCGTTCAATCTCCTCTCTATCATTTCAAACTTTGTGAACACACCTCTACACCCCTACTAGAAGAAATCCAATAATGCTCCAATCGATTCGATTATGGTGCTCAATTCCACCCATCACAACTTCCCTAAATCTGTTGGCCACCAACCACGACCACCATCTTTGGCCGGCCACCTTAAGTTTAAGATCCCCAGCAACCCATGTCGATCTTTCTTTGAAACCCAATGTCCCAAGCCCTTACCTCATCTTCTGCCCCCCTCAACCAATTGGTTCTTTAGCCCCCTCAACCTCACCTCCCTCTTTCATCAGAGATGTTTTAATGATATAAGTGATTATAAAATAGAAATTTAGGTATAGAGTTGTGTTCCAATAAAAAATCAAATCTTCATAAAAGGCGTATGAAGTACTTTGTTCTCAAAASTTCACATAAGCTAAAATGTTAATATACGATAACATTTCATATTAAAATATGTTAATATATATTAAATATATTATAACTTATGCTAACATCTCTTGACGTGTTAACATTTTCTATAACTTTTCTACAATCATAAAAAATATCAACTTTTCTACATGATATATTCTCTCTCTCTCTCTCTCTCTCTCTCTCTCTCTCTATATATATATATATATATATATATATGATACTAATTAATAT